TAGCCCAGCGAGTGTTGAGTGGATACAAGGACGTACCAGTCCAGGGAACACCGAGTCTCAAGGCTCAGTGAGGAGCAAGGAGATCGAGTTAGGGAACTATTCTACGATACAGGTAGTTCTTATATACATCCTGGGCTGACCCTTGAGGGCACGTCCTCACTGTACACTAACGAGTGAACACTACAGGAATCCTTCATGGATATCCAGTGGGTCCAGCAATGGGCACAATGGGTACAAACCGCTGAGTCAACATGCACAAGACTATTCTAGAACGTTCCAGACCTGATCACATGTCCCTACATCACGACCACAAGGTCACATGCCATCACGTGCCTACCACATGACTGGTCACGTGCCTATCCCTCTATCCATCCTATATCTCCATCGTCGAAGTGGCACCTGGGGCCACAATGCCTGCAAGGCACGTACACTCCTCAGAAACGCCGAGAAATAAAGAGTTAGGTTTAGCCCGAAGGCCGTTTCAGGTAGGGTGGGTAGGTAGGGCGTATATGGTGGAATGGGCTGGGTTATGGATGGATAAAATGGGAAAAATGGGCAGGGATGATCGTAGGGTGAATAGGGATAGAACGGTGGCCGATAAAAATACGGAAAAATGGTAGAATAATAGTAGGGATGCTAGGGTGGGGGTACTGGGTACCTGGGGGTAGATCGGTAGGGGAAACGGGGTGATCTGGGGGTATTTCGGTAACTTAGTGAGTTTTGTGAATTAGGACAAACGGATCGCATTGCCGGGTGTCATTTCGATGGAATTGACGTATAAAACGTGAATTGTGGCCTGATTTCGGCAACATGAAGGAGGACGATTTTGGGGGTTCTGACTATTTGACAAACATTGATAAATGTATAAGATGGTCAAAATCAATTTTTGAAGGAATCGGTCCATTCGTTCCGAAGTTATAGCGTAAACGGTCAGCAAGATATTGCCCTAGCACGGTGGGAGGGGGTGGGCAGGCCAGAACTGGGGATATAGCGGTTCGATTGTCTTGGTTTTTGCTGTAATGGGTAGCCCCATATCAATACTAAGTGATGGGAAGCACGCCGGACACAAAAACAATGATTGTGGTCTTGGTAGTGGTGCCGCGTCCAGGGGAGGAGGAGGAGAACATCTACCCTGGGGGTATTGCCATGGTTAGAATGTCTTGTGGTGTTGAAGTGATGATTGGACAATATAGTTTGATGTTTGTGAAGTAGATCTACGGTGCAACATTAGTCAAAATTATCCTGCACTAATTGTGGGGCGCTAAGGGGGTAAAACAGCATATTGGGCCACAATATAATTACCGAAACACCAATTTACGCGTTTTTGGTACCGTTCTTGTTGTGGTAATTTAGTTTAAATGTACATAGACATTATAAAAGCACCAGAACCACCTCTGGTCGATTCTGGAGAAAGCAAAACCATGTTTTTGATGGGGGAGCAGGTGCACATGTAGTATTGGGGGCGTATATGGACCAGATCTCTCTCAAATGCAGTGCGATTATGGTGCGGTGTGGTACAAGGCTGGATTACATCATAATGAATGTTTCTGGATGGTCCACTATGTCATACCTGGTCTGTGTGATACAGTAGAAATGCAAAACATCGGTTTTTGGCTGTAAATGGCCAATTCTGCCGCGTATTTGAATTTCTGAATATAATTGAGAGATTTATGGACCAATCCCCGTTAGGACTAAACTCTATGCATCAAAAGGTAAATGTCCAAAAAAAATCCGAAGTGACCAGTTAGCCTATACCTCTCAAAGTGCACATATTGCTGTTACTGACATTTGACTAGTGA